TTACAAATAAATTCAAGGGGCTGAAAGAGAGGGATCTTTTATCTTTTTTTTTCTTTTTTTCTTTTTTTTTTTTTTTTAATACTGAAAAGACTAGATGGTTTATACAGTTCATAGCCAGCAAAATCATAGAATCACAGAATCATAGAAGAACTTAGGTTGGAAGAGACTATAAAGATCATTTAGTTCCAAATGCCCTGCCACGGACAGGGCTGCTACCACCAGCTCAGGCTGCCTAGGATCCCATCCAGCCTGACCTTGAGCACCTCTGGGAATGGGGCATCCACAGTGCTCTGGGCAGCTGTGCCAGTGCCTCACTGACCTCTGAGTAAAGAATTTCTTCCCAACATCTAACCTAAACCTTCCCTCTTTCAGTTTAAAGCCATTCTTCCTTGTCCCATCACTAACTGGGCTGTGCAAAAAGTCAATCTCCTTCCAGCTTGTAAACTCTCTTCTAGTACTGAACAGCCACAATGAGGTCTCCCTGAAGTCTTCTCCAAGCTAAACAAGCACAACTCCCTCAACCTTTCTTCATAGGAGAGGTGCTCCAGCCCTCTAATCATCTTCATGGCTCTCCTCTGGTCCCTCTCCAACAGCTCTGCATCTTTCTTGTACTGGGGGCCCCAGGCCCCAATACAGCACTCCAGATGGGACCTCACGAGGTCAGAGTAGAATCATAAAATTTCAAGGAGTTGACTCCCCTCCTGTTTATAGGCTCCCTTTAGGTACTGGAAGGCTGCAAGTAGGTTAACCTGCAGCCTTCTTTTCTCCAGGCTGAACAAGCCCAGCTCCCTCAGCCTGTCTTCCTAGGAGAGGTGCTCCAGTCCCTGATCATCTTTGTAACTCTCCTCTGGACCCTCTCCAACAGCTCCCTGTCTTTCTTGTAATGGGGGCTCCAGACCTGATCGCAGTACTCCAGATGGAGCCTTACAAGAGCAGAGTAGAGGGGAACAATCACCTCCCTTTCCCTGCTGGCCACCCCTCTTTTGATGGAGCCCAGGATACCATTTGCCTTCTGAGCTGCAAGGGCACACTGCTGGCTCATGTTAAGTTTTTCATCTATCAAGATCCCCAGGTCCTTCTCCACAGGGCTGCTCTCAAGGGCTGCTCCTTCCAGTCTGTATGGATGCCTGGGATTCCTCCAGCCCAAGTGCAAAACCTTGCACTTTGCCGTGTTGAACCTCATCAGGTTCACTCAGGCCCATCTTTCAAACCTGTTGATGTCCCTCTGAATGGCATCCCTTCCTTCAACCATGTCGACCGCACCACTCAGCTTGGTGTTGTCAGCAAACTTACTGAGGGTGCACTCGATTCCGTCATTGATGTCATTGATAAAGATGCACCAGTTAAAGAGCACTGGTCTTTAAGACCCCTGGGGGACGCCGCTCATTACCGGCCTCCACCTGGACACGGAGCCATTGATGACCACCCTCTGTCTGCAGCCTTTCAACCAGTTTCTTATCCATCGAGTGGTCCACCCATCAAATCCACATCCCTCCAGTTTGGAGATAAGGATGTGGTGAGGGACCATGTCAAAGGCCTTGCTCAAGTCCAGGTAGATGACATCGGTTGCCTTTCCCTTGTCCACCGATGCCATCACTCCATCATAGAAGACCACCAGATTGGTCAAGCATGACCTTCCTCTGGTGAAGCCGTGCTGGCTGTCTCAGATCACATGCTCATTCCTCATGCCATCAAGCATGTCATCCAGGATGATCTGTTCCATGATCTTCCCAGGCACAGAGGTGAGACTCACCAACCTGTAGTTCCTGGGTCCTCCTTGCTCCCTTTCTTATAAATGGGAGTAACGTGACCCTTCCTCCAGACATCCAAGACCTCACCTGACAGCCACGAATTTTCAAATATGATGGAGAGCGGCTCAGCAACCACCTCAGCCAGCTCCTTCAGAACCCTGGGAATCATAGAGTGGCCTGCATTGAAAAGGACCACAATGATCATCTAGTTTCAACCCCCCTGTTATGTACAGGGTTGCCAACCACTAGACCAGGCTGCCCAGAGCCACATCTAGCCTGGCCTTGGATGCCTCCAGGGATGAGGCATCTACAGAAAGGGGGCAATCACCTCCCTCTCCCTGCTGGCCACCAAGCTTTTGGTGCAGCCCAGGATACAGTTGGCCTTCAGGGCTGCAAACATACGTTTGCATCCTTATAAAGGTGTATGCTTTTACACATCACCCTCCTGGTGCATGCCCTCTCACTGCCTTTCCTAGGCTTCTCGCTGGGTCACCCCCATGCATCAAAGCTCCCAGCTCCCATCCTGCCTGCTCAGTTCTGTATACAACACCACTATTGGCAGTAGGACACTAAATTTAATTTGCATCTTGTAATGTAAGTGCTCCCAGAGGTTGAAGCAACAGATTTTGCATGCAGTATCATTTTTTCCCCAGACACACTCTGGCTACAGGAAAATCAGTATTTTACAGGCAGCACTTGAGCTGAGCCTAACCACCTCTGTGGAAAAATGTCACCATAAATTTGACACTGAACCAGGGTGACATTTAAGGTGGCTACTGTGACAAAATATTTTGCACTGAGAGAGCTGCTTTTCTGGGTTTTATCGAGATCAGAAAAGCTTTTCCCTTTAGTTGAAGTAAATACACACAGCCTAGCCTGTAATTTAGCATGTTCTCCAGCAGCTCACTTTTCAACTCTCCAGAACCTCCTGGAGATATTACTAGCATGGCCTTTCAGCAAAACAAACTCCTGGAGCTTCCCCAGCACACAAGGAGAATCTGTGTGCTAGGACCCAAGGGCAGACCACATACCAGAAGGGCATTGGGAATTGCTGTCTGAGCCACGATGGCATAGAAGCTCCAATTTATTTGTATAAGCACTGCAGTGCTGCTTCTGTACTTTTGACAGCAATAGAAGTACACTTTCCTGCAAAAGCAGGAAAATCCCTGCTGCCCCTGCTAAGATGCAGGCCGCTCAGACGTATCTACTGTAACCTGCAGTGTGCTGGGCTGGGCACTCCTGCTGGGGCCAGCAGCAGAGACAAACGATGGCCATGGAGGAAACCCAGCAGGTTTATGCTCAGGAGATCTGGCTGTGCCTCAGGTTCCTTGCATGGTGCTGGCAAAACTCACAACATTGGTGATTATTAACTCTTACCCAGTGCCAAAGGCACTGGAGAGCTTTATCTCCAGCTCCCTTAGTCCCACTGTAACCACAGGGGTTGATGGTGTGGGCGTAGCGCTTCCCACATTAATCTTTTATGCTTCTTGAGACCCTGTTCAGAGCTACAGAAGTATTGTTATTTTTGAATACATACAGCCAAAGACCAATAAACTAATTACATTCCTCTTCATAAAAGAGAAGATACCAATCTTCTTATATTAAATCTGTCCAGAGTAAACAAACTTCTCTCCTCCTGCTGTTAAAACACGTTGCTGTAAGTGTTTAGTGTAACATCTGACCATTTCTCTTGCATCTTCCTAGATTAGGGTCAGTCCATTTGCACTTCAATAGTTCCAAGGCTGTACTGCAGTTTCTGGGGCTGGAGCACAGCTCAGCTGTAAAAACTTGCTGGAGGCTGTGAAGCAGCATAAAGAGGCTGGGACAGGGACTATTTTTAAAGCCAGTTTTGTAAGGAGAAAATCACTGTGCTCGATTCCATTTTTTTTCCCCCAATGTTTTTTGGTTGTGAGACTGAAAATTTGTGGAGGTCTTTGAGGTCAGCTTCCCAAATGGCTGACAGGCAGAGCTGCAGACAGCATTTGTGCGCAGACAGGTAAAGCAAGCTGAGATGACCCGACTGATAACACACGTGGGCTGTATGGATGATATACGTATGAAAAGGGATAGCAGAGGAACAGATGTGCCAGGACTGTCTGCTTTGTGTACCAGCTCCACCATAAAGGATGGGGGAACCAACAGCAGCCAAAGGCTGCGTGCTCTGATGTCACCGTGCAGATTCTGGCTCCACAGCCTTAATGGGGCCCCCTGGACAATACCTGCATATAGAAATATCATGGTCTAATGCTTCTCTGCTGCACAGCAAGGAAGTGGATAATTTCTCCTGGATCTTCCCCCCTCTTTCTCAGAAATCCTCTCCTGTCATGCTCAGCTTTGTTAGCACATATCATTCAATAGGCACATATTGTTTAAGTCCTCAGAGACAGCCCCGTATCCATTTGGCAAGGAATAAAGAAGCCAACTCAGACTGCCTATTCACTCTCCAGATCTCCAGAGAGGTGGCACATGGTGTCACCAATACGCCTGCATTCCTGGATTGGCAAAAATCCCCGTAAGTTCTGTTTGGTCTGAATGTGCTATATTCTAGTCTAGGGGACAGATAAAGGCACATCCTGAAAATTCATACTAAAGTATAAACAAACATCCAACTGTCTCAGTGAATTACCTAAACAATGCAAATAGCTGTCTAGAAGAGCAAGCTCAATTTGATGATTAAAATCTGCTCCCGAATCTACAGGAATAACCAAAAGACAAGAAAACAAAATCCTCTAGTTTGAAGCAGGGGCTCTGATCTAGCTCCTTGGTTAATTAAGAATGGGTAACGCTGGTGGTGACACCTGCGGGGCGGCCTTTGGTCACTAATCCCCTCCAGTTGTCGACAAAGAGTTGCGACAGTTGTCACCCTCTGAGCCAGGCTCAGTGGGAGGCAGGGGATGAATGCCCTGGGAAGCAGAGCTGCTGCCCCAGTCCTCTTATCTGCTGGATGTGGCCCGGGCAAAGTCGCGGGGTGTAAAGGTGAAGCATGCATTGCCAGCAGCCATGCGGTGCTCAACTCCCAGCAGGAAATGGGGAGTTTGGTCTCCAGCACTTTTAATCTATGGGTACACAGGAAAAAAAAATTAAAAAAAGAAAGGAAAAAGTCATAAAAAATTCCAAGGAATTGAGCTAGTGTAATAAAATGACTGCTCAAACAGAGTGTCTTTAAGGAGAAAAACGTTTGGCTTTCAGGCGGATGCTGTCCCAGCCCAGCACTGGAGTTCTGCAGCAAGTCCTGGGGAAGGCTCTCACCTCTCTGCTCCAGGACAAATCCCACCCTCTCGAAGCACAGAGCCCACTTGGGTTGATGCAGGAGCTGCTTTTGTTCCACTTCCAGAGCAGCCTGGGCTGCCCGGTCCTGCAGTGAGGTCATAACTCAGGGCTGATCGCATCACAGCGCGTTGCCATGGCGATGCCTGAGCTGTCACAAAAGGATGCGTGTGATGATTTCACAGCAGATGGGCTGTGAGGGAGGAAGCCCTCATTTAAATTTTAAAAATTGCTTTGGTAATTAGCAAGAGCAATAGAAAAAAAAAATGTTAAAAAAAAAAAAAAGAAAAATCCCTGAAACTGGCACTCTCAGGAAAGGGCAATGAATTCTGCAGGAAGAGGAGGGAAGCAGGGGCTGCGCTCCCACTGCCTGGCTGCAGGGTCCCCCCATCCCAGCACATCTCACAGCCCGCTTGTCCAGCCAGCCCCGCAGTAGGAAAGGCAGGTTGGATGCTGCAGGGCTGAGGCTGCATTGTGGCACCAAGTGCCCAGAGGAGGGGAGAGGTAAACCCCTGGCTTCACCAGCCCTTAGCAAGGAGTTGGATCAGGCCCTACAGGGCCCTTGGTAATGCAGCATGTGAGTTGTATGAATGTGCTCCTGTTCTTGCGGGGATATGATATGAGGAACAGCTGGAGTCCCTGGTTGTGCTCAGCCCAGATCAGAGGAGCTGAGGGGAGGCCTGATGGCGGCTGCAGCTCCTCACAGGGAGCAGAGGGCAGCGCTGAGCTCTGCTCTGTGTGACAGCCCTGAGGGAACGGCATGGAGCTGCGTCAGGGGAGGGGCGGGTGGGGGTCAGGGACAGGGTCTGCACAAGTGGGCACGACCCTGAGCTACCGAGGTTCAAGGGGCATCTGGACACTGCTCTCAGACATAGGGACCAGGTGGTCCTATGTGGAGCCAGGAGTTGGACTCAGTTATCCCCTCGGTTCCCTTCAACTCAGGATATCCGGATCAGCTCAGCAGCCCTCAGCAGAATGAAATCTCTGCATTCAGCAGCATTTCAAGGATCTTGGGCTCAGTCCTATTCATCAGGGGGAGCAGACTCCAGGGAAGCACGTTCTTCACTCGTCCGGTGACTAACAGTTGATCTTCCAAAGAATGAGCCAGATGGTTCCCATGAGAAGTGATCAGCTCTCCTGGAGTCTATGAACCAGAAAAAGATAGAGTCTGGGTGCCTCTTGCCAGGACCTGTCTGAAGCTGAGATGATGAGTGCAGGTGCACCAGGAGCTGGTGCCTGGGGGATTCCCTCCACCTTGGCTCATCAGCCCCACGAACTGAAGGGACAGCTTCCCCCAGCTTAAGGGCATCACAGAGCATAAGGTCAGTCCTGCTGACTGGATTCAGACCTCAGCAGTGCTTTGCTCCTGTGCACATTCCTTTTAGCATCTCATTCTGCAGACAGCGCATCTGATCGGTGCTCTCGGCCTCAACTTGGATTTGAAAGAAAAACAAGAGGATTGACAGAGTGCTTTAGCAGAGGGGAAAGCATGGTTTTGTAGTTATTTTGCTAGGGAAAAAATATTTACATAGGTTGGGGAGTGAGTGGCAAATACCGAAGGCTAAAGAGCTGCGTTCCCCCACACGGATCTGCACACTGTGCCTTGACCAGCAGCCAATGCTGTTTCCTGCCATGGCACTGGTGTCCACAAGAGAGGGGAAAAAATAGCAGTGTTTATGTGTTTATCTGCTGACCTCTTTTAAAATTGCTCTTACCTTTATTTCTACTGAGGGCCATACTGAAAGCTGGCTTTCAATGTGTAACAACAAACAGCAGCTCAGAGCCGTGGCACTGCCATACTGGTGTGGGGGATGAAGTAGGGTGGGATGCAGTTAGCAGCAAGGTGCACACTGAGCAGTTGCAGCCTGGTTATTCTTGCAAGGCAGCAGCTCTGCCTCCAGCCCAAGACCTCCCCAGGAGGAGCAAACACATCCCAAAGCTCCCAGCCACCCCCCCCCCCCCCCCCCCCCCCCCCCCCCCCCCCCCCCCCCCCGCTGCATCCCATACACAAACCAACCCCCAATGCCACAGCTTCAGGCAGCACACACATGAGCAGCACGCAGCCACACTCAGCAGAAAATGACTCTCTGGCTCTTTTATTTATATGTCTCTGTTTTGGCTTCCGAAGGATGCACGTCTCCTTTGAGGATACACACGGAGTCTCTCCAGAGCACAGCTCTGAGCTGTAGCTCAGGAAAGGGAACGAGATCTGCTGTGCTGACTCAGCCTCGGCTGCACAGGAATAAACAGTCAGAAAGGAACCATTAACTCAATAAGACTGAAACGTATGTGACAATGCATATGTCAGACACTCATCTCCTCGCCGTAAATAATATACAGATACATTTCAGCATACAGTTCATTGTCTCTGACCAACGTCTTACTTCACAGGGGAGTTTACAACTTTATTTGAGGTCTTTACAGAGTGGATGTCAACTTAAATCTAGAGAAAGTGGACAGAGAAAATGGAGAAAGCATGAGATTTAAAGCAAGCCAGCATTCTGTCCTTGTATTCCTGGGAAATTTTGTGCACTCACTGTGCCCTGTGATTGGTGTGGCTTCCATAGTGCTATTCACTGAAAAGAGAGGCCTTCAGGAAAAAAAATGCAAACTTCCTTTTTGCATTTTCAGTATAAGCAAGTTCCATTTCCTGATGATACCTGGATTTGTTTTAATATGAGGTTTCCATAAATCAGCTGCACACAGAATATGTTACACAGTCTGTAAGTGAGGAGGGGATGCAGCAGCAGGGGTCGGGCTCTGCTCATCACCAGTGACAGACCACATGGGAATGGCACAAAGCTGCACCAGTGGAGGGTCAGAATGGACATCAAGAACAATTTCTTCACCATGAGGGTGGACAGACACTGAAACAGGATTCTGAGAAATGCCTCATGGCTGCCAGTGTCAAGAGGCATTTGGACAATGCTCGCATTAATTAAGAGGTCAGGCAACTGGATTCAATAATATTTGAAGGTCCTATCCAACTAAACTATTTTATTATTCTATTCTATTTCACTCTATTATTCTACTGTCCCATTCCATTCTATGTCTGACAGAGAGGCAGAAATTGGAGATAACCAGCCAACTATCCATTTCCTAAAGCGCAGCATCAGGGCTGAGGTGACACATGGGTTGTTGGTCCCACTGCTCAACATTCAAACAGAGGAGGAATTTGATGACTGAGACTGAGCTCCATTTTGCAGAGTGCAGGAAAACAAGAAGTCACAGAGAATTATAGAATAATAGAACTGTTTGATTTAGAAGGGACCCTTAGAGGCCATCTAGTCCAACTTCCCTGCAGTGAGCAGGGACACCTACAGCTAGATCAGGTTGCTCAGAGCCTGTTCCAGCCTGGCCTTGAATGTCTCCAGGGATGGGGCATTCACCACCTCTCTGAGTAACAGGTTCCAGTGCCTCACCAGCCTTATCGTAAAAAAAAAAAACAAAAAACAAAAAACATTTTCCTTATATCTGATCTAAATGTCCTGTTTTATTTTGAAACCATTTCCTCTTGTCCCATCACCACAGACCCTGCTAAGGAGTCCGCCCTCTTCTTTCTTACAGCCCCTCTTTAGATTCTGAAAGGAGCAGTGGGTATCCTTGGCTTTATCTCCACGATCTCTGCAGTTTCTCTGAGCATTACCGTTGAATACACAACGGCCAATAAGTACTCTTAGCTTTTTCATTGAGGAGGGCAATAGGAACTGACACAGTTTTAAAGCCCACATCCTCCTCGCTTCAAACCTGCGCTCCTTTTTAATGACTTCGTATGACATCACCCATGTTTGGGGGAAGGCAGAGGGATCTGCGAAGGGGCCTTACGCAGCGCAGACCACTTGATCACAATGGTGGACCCAAAAGAAGCTCCGGGCTTCCACCCACGGCCCCGCTTTGCACTTGAAAGCACCAACGGCAGCACCGCCTTAAGGGCCAAAGGGCCCTTCGCGCTCGGCAAGGCAGAGTGAAAAAGAAAAGAAAAAAAAGCTAAAGAGGCCTTAAAGTAAGTGTGAATTAGGGCAACTGCAAGCAGACGACTTTTCCATCGATCTGGCCCGTAAAGAACCCTTCACATTAACAAGCGTAACGGTCATTAAAACACTTTGGCTTTTTCTTGTCCTAATCTTAGGAAATTGAGATCGTAGAAAAAAAACGTTCATCTTTCAGGGGAGGAGTGGTTGCTAAGATAGATAAGCTTTTTTTTTTTCTTTCTTTCCTTCCAAAACGCAGCCGAACAGCTCTCGAAGAGTTAAAACAGACTCGGCGGTATCTATAAGAAAGTGGAAATTCCATGTAAAAAAAAAAAAAAAAAAAAGAAATCTCACGGGAAAACCCAGAGCTCAGAGAGCATCAGCGGAGCTCCGGCGCTTATCGCCGGGGTTCGCGCGTCCCTCCCATCAGCAGCCGGGCGCTCGGAGCCGGCCTGGCTGCAGGCGGACACGGAGCATCCCATCCCGCCAGCAAACACTGCACAGACCGCGCTCCACCCGGCACTCGGATACGCGCCCGCTCCGATACGGGTATCCCTGCGAAGAGATCTCCCTGACATTGCCCGGACACATCTACTTTCCGTTCGGCCGCGGGAACTTCGAGCCCCTCCGACGCCGTCGCTCCCCGCCATGGGACGAGCCATGGGCTGAGCCCTGGGAGCCGTCCTGATACCATCAGGCATTCCCGGGATGGATGTGACGGGAGGTTCCGCCCCGCACGCAGCGCGCCCGGAGCTCCGCGGTGCTCTGCCGCTCGCGGTCCCGTTACCCAGAGCCGGCTGGCACCCAGCAGCGAGATGCGGCCGGTGAATTACTTCTTGTCGTTTAATCCGCTGAAGTAAAAACGGGGAATAACCCGGCTGCCGTCCGCTACACCTCCTCGGTAGCGACGCAGAGACACGAGAGTTTAACGACAGTTTTAAATGGGGGATAGGATTCCCGCGATGCAGCAGAGCGGCACCGCTTGGAAACACGCAGCACCCCCCGCAAAGCCCCGACTGAGCGCCCCGAAGCCCACCTCGCTCCGGGTGCGTCCCAAAGCTCCGGAGACGCCGGGAGGGGCGGCGCGGCTCTGCCCCGGAGCGATGGCGATACCGCACGGCCACCGGCGGAGCCCACGCTTGGAGCACGGAACGGAAGAGGGGTTCGGGGGGGGGGGGGCGTGGGAAATCCGCTTGGTGGACCCGGAGGAGGCGCTCCCGGGGACGAGGGGGGCACGGCAGCGCTCGCAACTTTCCGCCGCGCCGAGAGACCCCGGCAGTCGCGCCGGCGGTGGTATCGTATGCAAATACGCAGGCTGACGTCAGAGATCATGTGGGTTTTGGCGTAGATCCCCGCCGATCGAGGGCTCCTTTTTTT